TTCTCTTTCTTTTTAATCCTTGCTCTAATTTTTATTTTTGTCTCTCATGACTTTCCTTTGAAGTGGATGAAGTATTTCAGGTCACACTTGTTTTCTTGCTGTTTTCTTCCAATGCAAAACTATTTTTCATATGAATGTGTGTTGTAATATCTTTACTAAATGTGTCTCTACTTTGTGTTCTGCATCAAATGTGTTGAAGAAGAAAGATCTGAACAGAGGAGGTTACACCAGTTGTTCAGAGAAATATGAGGGAGAATGACTGATTCCACTAGCCAAGCTGGATTATTTGAGATCTTAGTTGTACAAATCTGTCAGAAATGTATAATGTATTTCTGATGAAGACTGTGGAATCAAAACATCAACTTTTTACACATGCCCAGTGTAATCTGTCATCCTCATTCCTTCATCATGGAGAATAGTGCTTTGTCATCTTAAATGTGTTTTGTAAATTGTGTGTACAATTGATAACATTTTGATAACCCCCACGCTCTTGTCTGCTATAAGAGGGCAGACTCATTTTCAACCAAGGAGAAGAGCCAGTTTGCTGTAGTTGTGAGCCTTTCATTATCTTCAGAGATAAGAACACATAGTTAATTGAAGGAAGTAAGGATGGGTTACTGAGAAGGTTCATAAAGAAGGATTTGATGATCGTGAAACTTTCATTGGTATGTTGGGTGCTCTGTGTATTCAAATGGTGAGGCTAATTGTAAGTAGTAGCATTCATGTGTTTGAATATTCATTAATACAAAATTTGAGAAAAGAAACAAAAAGCAATGTAACAAAAGACAATAAAATCATTTCCATTTTGTAGATTCACAAAATGTGGTAGATGCAAAGAAAATAACCCATTCTTACTTGGCAGTTTGCTATATACCCGACAGGCTTACAATAGTCTAGCTATGACATGCCTTACAATAAAAAGATCTCTCTTTTACCAATAATCATACCATTGATTTATATCATATTTAGCTTCTTCTATATAATGCTCCAGCTGTGTGTGGCATGTTACCAATGAGAATGAGAATTTGGTAATAATATGCCCTTTTGTACTGGTCTGTGTGTTTTTGTGCATGGTCTCTTAATATCCCCCTTAGGTCAGCAAGTAAACTACAGTCTGAAGGTAGCAATAGTGATGAATTACTTGCTAAAAAATGCAGCTGATTTTGCCTTTGCGGGTGACAGCAATTGAAGCAAACTAAGCAAAGACACCTTTTTGGGGGCCATTGCTGCTTCAGGATTGCCATAAGCATACACAGGAGCTCTGGGATTTCATGAAGTTGCTTTGAAGTTAATTTTTATCTTTTGGAGAAAATAATATTTTGTGTATTGAAATTATAACTGAATCTAAAACTTCTTGTTAACCTGTTGAGTCTCCTGAAGCTTAGATCACAATTTAGAAATAACTTTTTAAAACCATTTGTAAAACCAGAAATTGAAGGCATCAAAAGCATTATATAAATAGATTTCTACCCTAGTACAACTTATGCTGGCCCTGTTTAGTGAATGAGAGAGCATGACATTTTAGATGTCTGCATCTTTAGGCCTTTGGTACTGAGCTCATTATCTTTTTAGTTCTGGCTAACTCAGCTTGGCATTAGTTATCAGGGGGTCTACCTATCACCAGGTTTTTAAACAATTATCGAGGTGAAATAGGGTTTTGATATTGATTCGACTTTTTCTCCTTCCTTAGAAATAGGCACTTGTATAGATTATTTAGATTCTCAAATCCCATCTTAGAGTGCAACTTCTTGCATATCTCTTGAAATTTGATTTACATATTTTACAGTAACTGTAATTTGTTTTCCATTTTGTACAACAGTTGAAATCTGACTTACACCTTTTTTTTATCTAATAATCCAGGCACGATTCTGACTCAGCCACACCTCCTGGCTCTCCAGCTGTTAATCGCTTGAAGGATCTTTTCCCGTCAAAGTCTCCGGTGACCCGCAAATCATCACGATTTTCAGTAAGCAAGGTTTGTTGAGGGGAGACATCATCATTTCCAGCATTAGTCAATAACTGTTGCTATCATTAGTATTGTGGTAATTAAGGTGTTGTAGAATATACCATCACAGGATTGATTTAGATTTATTTAACTGTAATTGATCGTCAGTGACTGAAAGGTTTATGAATATGTCTCCAGGAGATTTGCATGTTATTGTACTGGTAATCTATTTGTAGATAAGGAGATTTACTATAGATGAAATATCACTCAGCATACATCATGGATACTGACACCCTGCAGGTGGATGGTGCAATCACTGGAGGGGAATCAGAAGGCGACGGCAAAGGAGATGCTGCTGAAGATACCACAGGAAAGCCAGTCAAGAAGCGTTCCACCTTTGACCTCCTCAAGGGCACAGGCAACAAGTTGCGCAGTGCATCCTACCGCAAGAAGGAGAATGGCGAGAAGGACCCAGTGAAGGAGCTGCGCAGAAGAGCCACACTGAAGAGATCAAACTCTTTGGATTCAGCAAGTTTCAGAGCAGTCAGCACTGAGGTAAGTCTGCTGCAGAGAGCCATATTTAGAGCACCTTTGTTCCTTATTTTCTATTTCATTGGATTTGGAAATATCTGATTTTTGGTGTATTTTTGCTACAATTTTTTAGCTTGTGATTATTATAAGTCTCAGAAAAAGACTTTGGGTAAGAATTGATGTCTTGAAAGTATGCAAGTAAGTCTTGCAGTTAGTTTATAGTACTCAAGTATGGTCTGCTAATGAATCACTAGCATTATTTTCATTTTCTAGTGGTAACCTTTCTTCCTATTGCCTTTGGCTAATCGTACTAGCATTAAAATCATTATTCATATCATCAGTCAGTATATCTTAAAATTCCTGTAATCTTGTTTTTCCAAAAAGGATACGACAGACACCAAGGTTGCAAAGACAGAATCTCCAAAGAAGGGTATCCTGAAAAGACGAAACTCCTTCAGTCTGGGCAGCGCAACAACACCCATTGCCTCACCACCAGAAACCCCATACCAGACCATCACTGCAGGAGATACAAAGTGAGTCTGATTTTCATTTTTATTGTTATTGCTGTTATTTTTATGTTTTAATATTCTTTACTTTGGTTATCTGTTGGCACATTTAACTGTTAAGATTTCTGTGATTATTTTGGTTTTGGTAGGATGTTGCTTGCTTGCATTGCATTGATTGATGTATTTTATTTCTTGCTGCTTTTGTTGTAACTAATGTTATCTCAGTGCACAGGTATAGGTCTGTTAAATATTTTTTGCTTTATCGACTCTTAATGGATGGAAATGAAAAGAATTGGTAAAGAATCCTTAGAACATGATCGGAAAAGGGTGGTTTGAAAGGAAATGGTGGATTAAATCATAGTGATAAGAGATGCAAAAGTCAGGACAGTTATGGATAAAAGGGGTTTAAAACAAAAGCAAAGAGTTCCTGTTTGTACATCAAGTCCTATATATCGCGAACAGTGAAGTTCTGTCAGATTTTCTTTTGTAGGCTTACTTTGTAATGCTTTTTTCTTTGCATTCATTGAGGTGCATTAGGAAATTATGAAAATTATTCTGTATTATTTGATTTTGTTGATACTGAAAAATAGCTATTATTCTTGCTTGGGATACTCTTAGTTTTTTTTTCTAGATTCAAATTGGTCATTCTTATAAATAGTTTTGCTTATGCTATGTGACTTCTAATATAGATACTTTGTAAATTAGCTAAGTGAGCATGAAAGTCTCTTAATATGGTTTGGTTCAGAAGGATTATTATTTAGAAATATTACATCTTGCATATCATCCACTTCTGAACATTTATTTTCAAAATAGTTGACATGTGTCATATCTGCTCTAGTCTCTTAAAGAAACGGATATAGATACAAGGATGAAATATATAGCATAATGATAGGCATGTTTGTAGATATCTCTTCCTCAAACGAAGCAGTTTGTTATAAGAAATTAGTGATTCAGTTTTAGCATCAGATGACCTCACAGTTTTTATGAATGTACAAAGATTTATTTCCCAAATGCACACTAAAGGGAAGAGGAGGAGAGTGAGGTTGAAGGAGGAATGAGCTCAGATGCTAGGTAAAGTATTGGATTTTGTAGACTGTAGATGATCATGTGGACATATCTTCATTCATGACTGTAGTATAAGGGTATCTTTTTGAATTTTTGTGCACATGATCAGACTCAGCTGTGTGTGATAAATAGAGCTGGAATATTTGAGGAATTGCCTGGTATTTTTTTGATAATGTATTTTCTCTAGGAAGAATTTGTGTGTTGATACATGGCATAATTTGTTATTGATTGTTCCTTATATGCTTACTAAGAGATGACGAGGAGACAGAGTTATGTCTGAGAAAGATCTCAGATGCTCGGTAAAGTATACTTAAAATTTCCTTGAAGATTTTTTCTTTTAGATTGTAGATGTTAGTGAGTTTTTACGTTTGTTATTGTTTTTTTAATTTTCATTACTTAGAAAAATAAATGTTTCATTGCATGAGCTATGTAACTAGGTAGATGAATTATTTTTTAAAAACAATATATGATGCAAATGATATTAGGCAAAAAAAGAAAAAAAAAAATAGTTCTTGACTTCATTTTAAGATAATATTTGATGAAGGTTTGTCTTTTATATGCTTCCTAAGAGGTGAAAAGGGAAGGCATATAAATCGCAGAAGAAGGTGTAAAGTTAGGTAAGGTATGGTACACGGGCGCGGTTGAAAGGTCGGGATATTTTAATACTCTGCTCAACTTCACAACAAGTTATGCAACACCAGGAACATTACTTTTCCACCACTACAAGAATTTTGTTTTTGGTGCATGTCTGTTGGTTTCATACCTTGGACCACAAAAATTGAACCCATGTAAGATTCATATGCGTTGGTATAGAGAAGCCCTCCATGATGGAGGTTAAGACAAGAATACCTTCACGAGAATAAAGGTACTTGAGAAGAGCACAGTAAATTCATAGATCTCATAAAGAAAAGGGACTTGTTTTCATGAGTTTAAAACATAACTCATACATTCATTTTAGTTTTAGAATAGATCTCTGTGCGTACTCCATATTTGACACCAGCACAGTTCCTGAGATGTGTATATCACGTTATGCATAGAAGCACATTTTCATAACATATTCACCCGTCATTTTAAATGAATGTTCTCAACACTAGCAAAATTGTACATTACTCTCATGGTGCTGTATCAAGCACATTGGTTTATGAATCCTCGAGGTAAGCCACAGTGGAAACCAGGCATCTTCGGCTGGGAACTTTTTGCATGTCTAAACCTTGTAGTTGAAAGAATTATTAGATTTTATTTTCTAAACTTTAGATCTGTGAGGTAGATTTTATTAGAGCATTATACAGAGATTCAGACCAAGATGGTATTCAAAGTTTGGTAAACAATTATAAATCTAGAAAGGTTAATGGATTTATGTCTGTAATTACACTTTCATTGGCACTTGCCTATCAGTTGCCATATATCACATTTTGTCAGTGTACTTGACAAAAAAAAAAAAAAAAAAAAAAAAAAAAAAAAAAAAAAAAAACAGAAATTCCAGCCATTGATTATTTTCCTCCTCTACCGAAAAAATAAGCACAAAGTCATGCATTTGTTCCCAGATAGCTCATAAGTACCCATTATTAGCTGTACAGGCACATAGACACCATATTATATATCACTGCATTATAGATCAGTACATAATTTTTTATTTATTTTTTTTTTTTTTCTACAAAGAAAAGTGTGTTTAAATTCGTTAATGGGATATAGAAAATTGTAAATATATAGAGACTGTAACTCTTTTTTTGGGTTTGTTGATTCTGTGTAGGAGTATCTCCATTAGTCTTTCATGAAAATTTCTGGATGTATAGACTTCTGAATCCTATTTTCTCATGTTTGATATATTTAGTGCATTAGCAGTGGTTGTAAAATAGCAAGGAAAGAAAGTTTGTTTATGAATTTGTCAAAGATTATTTTAGTTTGTAAATATTAATTTGGAATGTTAATTGAATAGATGTTCTTAATTATCTTATGTCACCTCAATTAAATTTTTTGTTCACAGGATGTGTAAATATCAGGTACATATGAAAGTCCCTTTTCTTCAATTCTATAGTATTTTTTTCTCTTTTTCTCAGATTTTACACCGATCTTAAAAATTCTGAGCTTCCTTAAAAATCTTTGAGAGCTTGCTAACTCTTACCCGTATTTCCAGGCTTCGCAGTGCCTTTGAGAAGATGCGCATGAGAATGGAGAGTGCAAGTTCAATGGAATTCAAACTCTCTCAGATTTCACTCTTCAAGTCAAAGAAGAAGGAACAAATAATGGTTTGTATTTTTTTTTTCATTTCTTTTGTTTGTATTTGATAATTTTTGGTGTTTTCTCATCCCTTTGTTTTTTATTAGTCTGTTCTTATTACTATTTTTTATATATTATTATTGTTATCATCATCAAAATATTATTGTTATTATCACTGATATAATAACTTCATCATCTTTAATATTATCATTGTCATTATCATAACGTATTCATGATTACTATTAGTATTATCAATATTATTATTGATGCTAATAGTATCAGCTTAATTTCCCATATGGTTGTCAGAGATTGGGGAGTGTAATACAAATAATGTTTCCTTGCAGAAAAAGCCAGTTCTGGATCTGACGGAGGAGGAGAGATCTGTCTGGGAGTTGATGGAATTGTCAAAAGAGGTGAGGACAATACAGAAATAATAGGCACTTAGCAAATACTTGTATTTTTTTTACTCGACTTACCAGTAATATCCTTAGTTAAATTGTTCTTTTAAACATTTGATACATATGTGTGTGAGATTTATTAAACAAATTTTTAGAATGGTAACATTGAGGATACATGAATATGGTGGTTTTCCTATTTGCTCTCTGTGGCTAAAACTTTTAAAGATTATGGTAGATGGCTTTTATAGTTTACATCAATTGTTTTAATGAAAATATAAGAAGAGATAGAAAATACTGTGTAATTAAAACTTTAAAACATTGTAATTCAGGTTAAAAATCATTATTAACTTCAGCACATGCTTGGAATTAAGTTTTATAATATGTACACATATGATAAAAAATTTCAATATATTTTATCTCTTTTCAGGTGGACTTCACAAGGTGCCACATCGACCCCGCACCATTCCAGCTGGTTGAAAGAACTTCACTCCTCCGAGTTCACTCCATGTTCTCCATGCTGGGTATCAACCATGCTTATGTGACTGCCATTGGACGTCTAATAGGAGTGGTGGCTCTTAAGGAGGTCAGTTGATTGTGTATTAGATTTTTTATGCTTAAATTTGAAAGAGAAAATTTTGTTGTTGAAACGTTAGTTTTGGCGTGTTGAGGTATTAGATATATCAATTGCTATTTATGACTTATTGATGTGAATTCCTTGCAGGTCCGCAATGCTATTGATGGCCAGTACGTAGGCCAGACATCAAACCCAACACCTCAAGTGAGCTCTCCCAATACGCCCACCTCCCCCATGCGATCCGCTCTTGTTTCAGGGACATCTCCTCAGAGACTTTCTACCTTTAATCCCATCAGCTATTCCGACCCGGAGGCCGGCACACTGTCCCACAGGGGCTCTAGGACTCAGTTGGTCAATTTTACAAATGGTGCTTCACACAGCTGAGGAAGTAAGACTTTAGGAGATTAAGGAAATTGGTGGACACCTGTGAACTGTGATCTAAGTCGTGAACCTTCGTCACTTGTCAGCATCACCACAGACATTGACACTTGACGCCGCATTATATGTATAGCATGAGATGGCATGGAATGACTCTTAATTACCTACCATGGAAATTGACCAAAGTTGAGGACATTCCAGTATTTATTTTCAAGCAGTGCTCTTGACCATTTTGTGTTTTAGAACACGTTATGACCCTTCTAGAGAGGAGTAAATAGATTTTTCTGTTCTGACTTCTTTGAAAATGGAAAATATTTTCATTAAATCGTTTCTGTGTCTCCAAGATATATATGAAAATGGATATCATTGGTGACTTTCCGGCATTTGATATTGTTTTTAAATTTAGTGCGTTTGTAGTGAACTATTTATGACCCAAAGGAAAAATATCCTTTTGTGCTCATAATGTCTATTTGATCCAAGTAGTTTTAAAAATTAACATGTTATCCTACATATGAAAGGATGATTAGTCCTTCTATTTATGTAGGGGTAAATAATGTCCATTTTTTTATTTTGGTATTCAAATAATAAGTACCATAGTTTGCAGATTTTTCTTAAACAGGAAACCGTAACAAGAGACTAAAAAGTTGGAATGGTCACAAATAAAGAGAAAATATACATGTAATGTATGTTATAAACTAAGAAGCATCTTGATTTCATAACCAGTCCGAACCCCTTTTTCAGTACATGCTTTAAATGTCAATCCCTTGGACAAACTGAACTGCATTTTCAGGGTCACTGTGGAGGAGGGCTTACTGTGATAAAAGTTACCAGAGCAATAGATATGTACCATTCCTTACAAAGGATGAAATTATGATTTTACTATTATTATAACAATGATTACTTATTATTATTAATTAATATAATTATCATGATTATTATTGTTTCTCACTGCTCGTAACTATGCAATTATTTGTAATGAGTTCCTCTTAACTTTTCTTGTGTGATAATGGGATTCTAGCAAGATACCCTCGTTCTTTTTATTTTATTACTAATGATTATATCATAAAATGTTCCTTTGTGAAGTTTCGTGGTATGATTTGGGAAGTGCGTTATCTCATTACTGAAACATCGGCACAAATGCGTCTTTCACATCTTAGTCATTAAGCAACCTTTTTTTGGTAATATTTTCGTTTGTATGTCCATTAATGAACTTTGTTTGTGTTACACAGTTCATTACAAGATAATTTCATTACAATGTACTCATGATGTATTAAGTATTTTAGTATATACGGATTAAATTTGTAACTTCTATATGTGAATCTCATATTTGTTATTACATGTGTATTATATAGAATTGTTTCATTTTCTAAAGCAGTCACCATCCTTCCCTATTTTTCCAATCATAAAAGAGAGAAAGGTGGAAAGAAGTAGCCTTTTTTTAAATATATCTGCTTGTGTCAGCACAATATAATCCAATGATCAAACGTCCAATATGCAATTTCATGTGTGGAGAGATTCTTAAAGACTTTCCAAGCTTTTTTTCCTAATATTACTCTGCTTTTGTAAGGTAATGTGTTTTTATAATGTCATAAAAATGTTTTCTCACCCTGTAAATGTACACCCTTATAAGGAACCTTTCTCTTATTTTTTTCCTTGTTTAACCCATAGAACACACTTATCATATTCTAATTCTTGGGTAGGAGAGCTCCAAATAATTTGTAGTAAATTCATGCAAAAAAAAATTAAACTGCTTTACAGGCTGCTTTGCAAGGTAGGTTAAACACAATGTAGTGTATGCAAACACAAAAGCTTCTCATGAATACTGAATCACAACACCCAACATTATTTCAGTTTGTAATACATCTTTTTTGTGTGTTAGAACTATAACATTTTGGAATCAATTTGCAATGCCCTATTGGTGCACATAATGCTAATGCTTTATTCCCAGTTCTTCAGATCTTAATAACACTACTTTTGGTTATTTTTGAGTTCTTCATCAAGGCATGTATATAATACACATTTAATTTTTGCTTTTTGACTTCATTTCTTTACTCTTAGTACTTTCTAACTCATGTATTAGTATTTTCTATTTCATGCATCTCTTTGTATTTACACATTTAAGTGTTTATGTTATTACTTAGATAAAAATCATGTACTCATAAAATGTACAAGGACACACCATTCTCTCATTTTTCATGAACACAAGCATGTGTGTATGTATGAACGTTTTCTCTTAACCTTAGCCTGTAATTGGGAAATGTTTTATTTATTATACCTATCAGACTTGCCTTCATAATTGTATGTGAATGATTGTTAAAGATTAACAGCATATTCTATTTTGTTTAAGTTTCCCATCTCAGACATGAAAGAACCTGTTTTATACCCAGTGAATTGAACCATTGAAAAATTGTTGAGCCTTTGATATTGTAGTGAATATTATCATTAAAATATGTATATTGAAAGGTCGAAAGTGCCTCCTTATATAATGTGATAAATTTCCCAGCGAGGAATTACTGTAAATTTGGAAAATAGGGTTGATAAATGTGATAATTAAAAAATGTAAACACTTGTTGCCACATCAGAGGAGAATGTGTGTGATAGAACAAATGTCGGTATTTTTTTAGGAGACAACCTTTCATCTTTCTTAGTCATCTCACAATCCATGCTCAAGACTCTTCTTCCCTTGATTTTAAGATCATAGATATCTTTTAAATTATTTGGTTCTTTAATTTAGACTGCGTGTATTTTTAAAACTTTAAACTTTTTTATCAGAGAGAATGATGCTTGGTTTTCTTTGCTTTGGAAACCATAAAAATGTATACCATAAGACCAGGATTTTTTTTTACCACTCTTGACTGCCTGCAAATATTAAAACCATTTATATGAAAAAAATCTTTGAGCATTATTACAGCAACTGAAGATAGCTGTTTTAATGAATTTAACTTTTTGCAGGTTAATGAAAATCTGGAGTGTGTGCTAGACCTCATGTGTCATAAGTCCCCACAAATAAAATCATCTAGCAACTCTTTTTTTTTTTTTCTCTCTCTCTCACCTCTCTCTCCTTCCCCCTACATCTCCTTCTCCCTTTCCTTCTTCCTTCCCCCTACCTCTCTCAAGCCACTTTTCCTCCAAAGCACATACTTCGCATATTTCTTTGAGTTGTGTTCGAGGCCTTTACAGGAGGATATTGTCTGTGTTCTATTATGTGTACTATCTTCAAATGTATTGTTCTGGAGTTAGTATGTACTTTTTTAGCTGATATTTGGAATACTCTTGATTTCTCATACATGATTATGGCAGTTGCTAAGAGGTGTCATCTGCATGGTCGTTTTATTCAATATATTAATTCAAGCTTAATGTGTCTGATGTTATTTGAAATGTTTTTGCAAAGCTCTAACCTCTACATCACAAAACCCCTAAATGTTGTGAAACAAAAAATATTCTTGTAAATTAAAGTGTCTCTTAGTGTGAGGGCAAGCTGCATAATCATTACTGAAGTAATACATCTGCAAAATTCTTTGGTAAAAGCAATATCCCTAAATACATATGCTTTATAGCATTATTCTCTGCAAGTTAAAAGTATATAAAAAAAACTTAATGGCAAACAATGTTAGCTTGAGACATGGAAGAGGTGCAGAACAGTGCTTTACTCTTAACATTGCAGTCTACACTATAATGTCTTGACCAAGAATTTGCAGTAATAATACACTCTTCTCAGATTCCTTGAAATGAGATTAAAATTAAAAGTGGTTTTATGTATATAACTTTGAGCATAAACAATGATCTGTGTCTCATGTCACATTCCCATTTCTGCTCTCTCTCTCTCCATAGCAGCCAGTTTGACTGTAGATCAGTGCCGATTCTGAAAACAAAGCTAGCTGCATTTATTTTTGCATTTTAAACTCATGGATGAGGTTTGTAAAGAATATATTGAAGTTCATCCTGCCTCACAGAGCACTTATACAGCATATAAAAGACACCATAGATATGAGGTGCATACATATATATATGTGTATATAAATATATATTATGAGTGATATTTACCCTTTGTGACATCAGTCATGTTTCTTACAATCACGTCAGCTTCTTTACCACAACCCCATTTTGATGGTTGTATTTGCAAGCCTGTATTTTTTACTGAATTATCCAGCCCAGCTCAGCCTATTAGTTAAAAGGATTATTCAGCTGATAAAGATGGGTTAGAATATTGTAGATAGCATGAATGCTCTTCCTCATGCTGTATATGCTCACCTTTTGATGGTTAAAACCATGATTGTTGGTGCTCGTCCCTGTATTTTCTTCTTCCCTACAACCTTTACAATATACAAATGTGCCGCCAGAAGGTTGAGCATAGGGTCATTTGTTTGAACTCGAGTGTTATTTTATTACTCATTACATTCTATGGCTTGCTAGATAAAAACTTTTGGGATTGCCCTGTTTTATCTGTTTGTGGAATGAGTTTTTAGTAACATTACTTTTTTATTAAAAGATCATGCACTATGGTATATTATGTCCATTTTCATGTCGATAGAATGTTATAAAAGACAAGCATCATGCAATAACCCTCCTGTTTTGTTTAAATGTGCTAATTATCTCAACAATTGGGCAGATTCTACATGCTCAGTATTATGTACTCAAGATGAAAGTAACCAAGTTATCAAGTTGTATAATTATACATTTTGTTCAATATGATATTTTTCCTCTCCTTAATAATGTTAACCAAATACTGGTGTGAAGTAAAGCACCATTTTGATGAATGAAAAGATTATAGACTACATTAGTTTCTTTACAGTTAGTTCATTTGTAGCAAAACCTTTGTATTCTTCTATTAAAATTTATATTACATTCATGAAGTGCAAGTTTATGAGTAAACTGAAGTAAGCATATTCTGTAGTTTAATTTATGATAGCTTAATTTTTAAAAATCCCTGTAAAGTTATCAATTACCAGAATCAGTTAGTTGATATATACATTTTTATGGCTGCTGAAGATGAAGGTCCCATTTCTATTTATGCTCAACCAGACAGTTGAATATCAGCTAAATTCTTGTCTGAAAGCAACATCAATATTGAGCTGGCTGAGCCATATAAAAATAAAGAGGAATTGATAAAAGTTTTTCAGCCTAGTGCATAATATAACCAAGTAAACTTTAAAACTCAAATAGGGACCTTTTTGTACCCACGCCCTGGATGGAATGCATGTCAATATTTTGACACATGTGACAAAGTTAATAGTACAAAAAAACACTCGTCATGATAGCTTGCCTCATATTAAAAGACTGCATGTATATCATTTCGCATCATCAGTATTTTGTCCCTGGACTGGACCAGTATGACACAATGTCCTTTTTCTTTAACACATTTCAAACATCTTTTTCTTAGATTGGGACTTCAGCGATAAGACCTACAAGCAAAATTATTTTTCTGGACCACAGCTACTGAAATATTGATGTAATAATACTTTTCATATATCTTTTTTATTTAGCTAATGTCGGACAGTTAACACTTGTAGTTAATATCTGCTCTCCAGCTTCTCAATAGACATGAGTGGTACCAGCTTAGGCAAATCCAAATATTGAGTCACCCTAGAAAATTGCTAACATTTGCCAGTTTTCAAAATTTATACACAATCTCTCTCATATTCCCCTGTCTCCAACTGACTAAAATTTCAAGTGCGGGCGGTGGTTACCAGACATCAAAAGAATCAACGAGAAGAGGGTGAGACCAAAGTCTAAATAATAATAGTATGTAGATTTTGGAGTGAGTCAGGGAAACCAGCCGGGACCAGGCTTCACTCTCGAAGGGAGCGCACATACACGCAAAACCCTGCATGCATGTGCTGTTGAATACTGAGATGCAGTGGTGTGCTGGGGATGAGATTAAATGGGATGCAAAAAGGATGAAATGGTGCCACCTTCCGAGGTTTCCTTTAAATCTTGCAGGTGCAGTTCGTTTGACTTATCATATATGCTTAACATTAGCATCGAAATTTAGCTGTGTTGAAGGAAAGAGCTAATCTATTTTCGTAAATCACATTAAAAAAAAATACTACAAAGACTACTGCATGGCTGAATCGTACATGTGTACATGTGGAAATAAATTTTGGTGCCCCTCATTTTCACCTACTTGCCACTGCTGAGATGAAGCGATTAGGGAGACTAGGATCGAAGTAGCAGTGTGCAGAAGCTGGTTTTGTGGTATTTAAAATGAAATCAATCAAGTAGTTTCTGTGAGGTGTAGTGGTAGCTTAGTTGCGAATGGAGCACGGAAAGAATGCGTGTTTGTAAGGACTGTTGAAACGATCAACGACCAGTGCCCAAGTTCGAGGACGAACGTGCAAGGCATTAACGACTGCTCATCGTGAGTGAGTGAGTGAGTGAGTGAGTGAGTGAGTGAGTGAGTGAGTGAGTGAGTGAGTGAGTGAGTGAGTGAGTGAGTGAGTGAGTGAGTGCGTGCGTGCGTGCGTGCGTGCGTGCGTGCGTGCGTGCGTGAGTGAGTGAGTGAGTGAGTGTAGTGTTTGTGCGTGTGCGTTCCGTGTGTGTGTGTGCGTGTGGATTTCCGTGTGCGTATGTGTGTGGTAGGGAACCAGACAGGTGGCCACTCTCGTACTCAGTTCACTTCCGTCAGCGGCCGAGAAGCTAAAAGGTCTCCGGTGCATGGTTTCAGTGTCGAGCTTCGAAACTTTGAGGCACGGTTTCAGAGTCGAGCTTCGAAGCCCGCCTCGAAACTGTTCTTGTAAACTAAGCCCGAGAGACAACGTTGTCGTGGTCTGTATAAAAATTGTAGCAGTGTGTACTTCCTTATAAGTATTATAGGTCTGCGTGTTTGTCATTGTCATTGCGAGTGCTTTCGATTTTATATAAGACTGCGTTTTGGTGTGCATGCCTCTGTTTCGAGTAGATCCATGTTCATTTGATTTTTAACGTGAATTGCGCAAGGTGTATGCATGTAGGTGTGTGATAAATTTGATCACCCAGGTTCTGAATTGCTCGTGCTTGCCCTTATTGTGTTTCGTAGGGAATTTCCCTACATTTCCCCAAGAAACTTGGCAGGGCTTTTAAATGTTTACTCCCCCCCCCAAAATAAAAGGAATTTGTAATTTGATGGTCTTAAGGGGACCGTCCCTAAAAGGGGCGTGGCCAATTATGGGGGTGGGGGTCATATTGGTAAATATTTCTAAAAAATAAATGGTCTTATGGATTTTGTTGATTTTTGGATATTTTATGTATTTTACTATTCTGCATATTTTGATACCAAATTTATGGGGTTCCCACATGGGGGGCGATGGCCCCCGCAATTTTTTTTTTCCACATGTGTCTGCGCGGTTGATTCCTTGTCCCAGAGAATCATGTATTATGTCATGAAAAAAATTGTGAATGAACATCAATGAATTCCTAAGAGATCATCTTATCCTTTTTTGGAAATTCGATTTAGTTTCCTCAGAAAAAAAATCAAAGAAAAATAAAATAATTTGTTTCACATTTTTTTTCGATTTTCAAAAATTCGTATATAAAAGATATGCAAAATTTCAAAAATCTGATTCTATAATCTCTGCGCATTTTCAAAAGGTTTCCAAAGATATATCCAAAATTTTGATCGGATGTATCAGGAATCAGCTCGAAAAAGAAAAATCGAAAAACAAACAAACAAAAAGTTGGATAATTGAAGTTCATTTTTCATATTCATTCACTTATGGATCTTTACCATTTCATTACTGTAGAAACTACTATCATTTCTCTTTCAAACGCACTTCGTTAGGTAAAGATATGATCATTAGTCTCCGAGTAATAGAAACAAACAAACAAATGACTCCCGTGAAAAGGGGCAAATCCAGACCCAAAACAACATGATCGTTAAATAAAATCGGTTGTTTCGAGTTTTATACCTCTTTTATTACTGTTTTCTTGTGTATACATTCGTTTACATGTGTATACGCAAGTGAATTATTGTAAAGGTACATGTTCGTGCATGTCTTTATGCGTATATGCGCATATACCCATTAAATCCATTATAATTTATTCTATTTATTTATTCTATTATTATTAGAGTCTATTTTTCTTCCCGCATTGTCTAACCACGTGATTACGCCTCGAAACAAGCGATAAACGTTTAGTCGCAAGCGAAGTACTTTTTATGAAGGGACAATGAATTGTTTCTTGTTCGTTAGAAATAACCGTTCAGAAACCGTTGAGAGATCAAAAATATTTTGAAATACAAATCTCTTATATCAAATCTCTTATATTCGTTTATCATCTGATGTAAGAATAGGTATCAGATATATGTAGGCCGATTTTCACAAGTTACACGAATTAATTATATCATACTCTTTCTTCACATTATTTTTTTCCGTAAAATGGAATTATAATGACATAATGATGTTTAACCGATTATTTAGTTCCAAATGAAAACGCACACGTAAAATTATTGCAATCAGAAAAGTCTAAGGCGGTGGCGACGCTTGGAACTCCTTTAATATATTTAATAACTAATATAATAATTTAAAATATTTAATAACTCCTGGACGGCCGTTGACGCGTGCGAGCTCCCAGCCTGTGTAAATATCTATTCGTTGCGAGTTTATTTTTGGAGATACAGACTTGTAACTGCTCATGTATTATCATCGAACCCTAAACATACTCGTATGATGAATATGTGAAAATCGAATCTTATATAATTTATTTTATGGGAAAGAAATTTGAAAAGTTGCATAAGGATTTTTTATTTTTCTTCGTTATTCATATCATAAATCTTTTACTTTAGGATAAAAATGTTATAATAAGACACTTTTATCTTCCTGTGTTCCATTTCAATAGGTCATGTCAAAATACAATGCATCCTATTAGCTCCTGTGAAGCGAGAGTGCGGAAGGGTGAAAATCGCTGACGTTGTGGGACTTGGGGTTCTGGTATCGCGCGCTGCTCAAATCTTTCGCCGCGGAAGTTCATATTCACGTGGGTGATTCTACTCTCATTTACGAATATGAAACTGACCATAACTCATTTTCGACCACTCCGACCCAAAATCTTCGACTCGCCCTCCCCCCCACCGCCAGGGACGGTCCCCTTAGAGATATTGTAAATTTATTCTAATCACTTTTAATATCTTCAATGACATTACAGTTCTTGACCGTTGTTGTCGTGTGGGGGGGGAGGGGGTAGGAGACGGAGACAGACCCAATGTAGGGATCTCACCTGCCTCAACTAATTTTGCATGTCCTTTTCCCCCTCCTGCTTTTGTTTCCGTCCCTTCTCCAATCCCTTCTACTATCTATTTCCTAAGGTGTAAGAGCCGTGCTGAAAGGATGAAAGGCTTGTGCCAGTCCTGAACGGCCTGCGGGAACCATGGGCACGGTACTCCCGATTTGGTTGTCTAGCCCCTACCCCGTACAGGGCTCTAAGGGGGTGGACTGTTTATTTCCCTTTACATATTCAAGGCTTCTCATGGCCAGTAATGAAGATGTAATACCCCTATTAGGGGCAATGAGGCTTGCCCCTTCATCAAATAGCCCACCGGCTCCCTCCAGGCTCTCATTTGACCACGACTCCGAACACTGAAACTACTACCCACTCCTCAATGCCTACTAGTGCATTACCCACCCAAGCAGAGACTCAATCTCCAGAAGACATTTCTACCCTCCCAACTTCCTCAAATTCATCAACTCAACCCTTACAACCTTCTTCATCAAACACCCCAACCTCTACCACCACCAACCCTACAAATATCTGAACTACTCTATTTAGCCCAGCTAAGTGATCCCCCCTACAGCTCCTTACTCAGGTAACACACTTCTCTTTCAACAATGTCTCCAAAAACAGAATCCCTTTCCGTACCCGACGCGATCGCTCCCATCTCGTAACAGTCAGAGCTGAAGCTGAAGCTGTAGCATTA